GGTAGGTAGGTTTGTCTGTCGGTACGTATGAGCGTTTGTGTGTGTGTGTGTGTGTGTGTGTGTGTGTGTGTGTGTGTGTGTGTGTGTGTGTGTGTGTGTGTGTGAATCGAAGAGCCTTCAAGCAACTGAGCTTCTGACAACAATAGAAGGAAAAAAATTCCAAAAAGGCATCTGAGTACTTTCTAAAAATTGGAACGTGAAAACTGAAAAAGCAAACTCATTGATGCATGCTTAACTTTCTGCACTCGAGAGTGGCGCGAGGCGATGTGCATGTGAAAGGTTGTGAGCCTGCCTGAGCAAAATAATAGCGGTGCATCTCGAAGCGATGTTGTGGAAAACGCTGCGTCTGTGTTCGGTAGGAAAAGGTTGATATTTTAATTTCATTCAAATACACAAGCTGTTCCTTTTTCAATACAGGTTTAGCCAACGCCTTGCACATGTTCAGCTCATTAGACTGTCTGCATGCTGGGATGTATAATGATGAAAGAAAAAAGCGTTTTGTCTGGTGATAAAGCTCTGAGTCTACGGCTATTAGAGTTCACTGCGTCAGGTGGAGATACGAAACAATGCCGAGGTAGACAGGCGCATTGGAACACGAAAGATCTACACCTAGCCTTCTCGGACAAGGGCGAAAAATCTCGAAGGGCCCGTGTGCAAGTTGCGCACGTTAAAGATCCCTTGGTGGTCTAAAATCGATAAGAGTAGGCTTCGGCCGCCACCCATGCAAAATTCAAAATCTCCTACCAACTGAAAACATTAGGTGTGTCCCGCGCGCTCATATGACCTTATGCAGTTGCGAGCGCCGTAAAACACTTTACAAAAACAAACAAGTTGAATTATCAAAATGTTACAAATAGTTTGGGTTTTTTTGTACCTACTTTATTGAGTGGATGTCCTTTTCAAAGAGCAAGCACACTGTAGAAAACTAATTAGTTATCTGTTCATATGCGAAATGAATGCTTTAAAAGTGAGCAAATTAATAATTCATGAGGCTTTGAAATTTTTTTTGTTTTTGTTTCACTTAATTGATGGATTTAGATAATTTGAATAGAAAAAAACAACAGAACTGAAGGTCGTATTATTTTTGTACAATTTCAATTAAATGGCAACTTGTCTAACAAAAGTCTAACTAGAACAATAAATGTGTTATTTACATAATGAAATTGTTGCATTTGTAATGCTTACAACGAGGCTTTTTTAAACCATTGTTACTTGAAACGACGAGCCCACGACGTGCGATTTTTAAAAAAATACCTTCCTTCATCCATATTTTTGCAATGAATGCATAATGCTGAATAGCGTACAATGGCGTTCTTTTCATGCTCGCTTTGAAGAGACACAGTAAGGTTGGGGTTTTTTTCCTAAGTAAAAACTCAGACCGTGACAAAGGCAGACTCTATTTTCTGAAATTCCATGAGCAGTCAAAATTGTATTTCTCCACTCAGCCCCAACTATGGTCAGACTGTCTTTCAAATATTAAGTACAGTGGGTGTCGCATTCAACGAGGCTGCCGGGACCGCCTCGTTGAACGTGACTAAGGCTAAAATAAAATTTAAAAAAATTTTAAAAAGACAAGTTATTATATTACACGATGTACCAATACCAGTACGACATGTAATTAAAACAGTTGTTCCCCCTGATGACGAAAATCTCAAACATCATCAGTGCCCGTGTGTTTGACTAGCATCTGCGTTTGTTGCCATTTTTTTTTTTTGTCCAAAAGTTGCTAAAAGTTGCCACAAAAATGGCAAAAGTTGCCCTAAAAGTTGCCATTAATTTTCAAGTTTTCAACTCTCCGTGACGACGTATAGCAATATGTTGATAAGAGTAACTGAATCTAAA